ATAGCTAAATAAAAACCCCAAGGTAACCGATTTTTTTATTATTTGATCCTTATTGATTTGAACATGAAATTTATAATGGAAACGAATTTGTTATTTTTTATCTTTTTGACTATATTTGAGGATTTATTCCTACCACTTCTTTTTTCATCTATCTCGTCTCTTTTATTTATGCAGCGCAATTGGCCCAATCTTTCTCCGGCATTTCATGACTTTGTTTATGACCTTGGATGGCCGGTTGATTGTGTTAGTCATCCAGGTTGGTCTGGTGGTCTCAAACGTTTATTAGGCATGTCCGATTACACCTTAACGCATCCTGGCGTCGTTTCTGCTGTATCCACAGCCTCACTTTCTAATCTAAACGCCAACAGCGCCGCGGACTCAACAACATGGGCTTCTGCAGCCTTGGAAGTGCCTTTATCCACATCTGTAGGGATACCAGAAAATGCAGTGTCTAGTTTAGAGACAGAATGCTCTTTCAAGTCACCAGTGACAACCATAAAATCAACTAGGCATGGAAAAGTGCGTCTCAGTCCCATGACTTCTCAAGATTCGCCTTCCTCTTCAACTACCAGGATCGGTATTGAACAACGTCCTGGCTATCAAATGGCGCCCGATGGTCTCAACTGTTTAGTCTACTGGGCCGACGCGATTTCTGAGCTTGCTTGTATGTGTCCTGATCAGATACCTACCACCGCAATCGGACTTACAGCACATTCTTTAGCCTCATTCCAAGTTCCAACACAGTCTCATGTGACGCTGATGGCGCCATCTTTGACTTCAGTCCAACCACCTGCATCTGGTGTTTCTAGTCCGCCTGTAACGGAAACAAGCAATGTGGGAGCTACTTCATCCGGTTGGTTAGGAACACGCCTACGCTCTGCTACAGAAATGCCAGGTGAATAGAACTTAGTGCTGTTGGAGCACATAAGCAGAAGAGATGGCTTATGCATCAAATCTGTCTTTATGCCCTGATTTAGCATTCAAAAGATATTTTAATAAGTGCCATTAATTTAACAAAGTTAAGCTTCTTTCCTTTCTTGACCCACTAGTCTTTAAAATTTTAATCAAACATATGGCCGAATTTGTTGTCATATCTACACTAATTATTGATTTAGGCTAGAATACAATTAATATAGGTTATTTGACCTTGTTTTCGCAACTTGGTCATATTGGTATGAAGACTTACAGGAACGCACCTAGTCCGGAGTCTATTGATAGTTTCCAAAGTCGGACCGTGGACGTGGTACATTCCCAGACGTTTCTATTATCGTTAGTGAGTCTTGCCAGTCTTAGAACCACACAACAACTCGTAAAAGAAACAAGTGAAGCTGATCCTTTGACCAGACATGTGCTAAACAGTTGTGGTATCTTCCCTTCTGCCCTGGTCTATTCACATTTCCTATATTCCCCTATCACGCCTTCAGTGTTACAATTTTTACCGTGTTTATTTTGATGTAGTGTGGTGTGTTACTTTGAGTGGCATTGATGAAAACCCTTCACACTCCACGTTCTCATTCTCACCCCCTTAACCCTTATGCTGGGAATGGTGATCAGGGTCTGCCATATTGTTACGCAGTCCTCCTTCCCTAGGTCTCACTCTTGCCTAGTAAGATCCGTCTTTTCTCTCGCTGGTTCACGTATTTCATTCGACGCCTGCCACCCCATCTATGTTACTTGCATTATTCACCCTCCCCTGCGTCTGGGTGACTAATTCGAGGCTAAAGCCTCAGAATAAGTCATGGTTACGCCTTTGCTACATGGACCACGTCTGTGGCCTAACCTACTGTCAGCCAACTAGCTCCAGTGTCCCCCGCGTTTATCCTATTTCTATCCGTAATACGAAGTATATGACCTTCTATGCCCTAGTCTCTTGTGTGCCAACATGTGATTCAACAATGAACCTAATCAAAGCAAGCAGTACTACAACATTTGGGGATTAACATGCAAGAAACTGGGGCATAAGAAGTCATAGACTTGGTATCAGTGATAGAACAGGATGGACTCAACGGAGAGTGAAGCTAGTTGGCTGACAGTAGGTTTGTTTTTACCATAGACGTGGTACATGTAGCAAAGGCTTGACCATTAGACTTACTCAGGGGCGTTAGCCTCGAATTAGTCACCTTGACACAGGGGAGAGCGAATAATGCCTCGAGTAGCACAGATGGGGTGGCATGGGGTCGAATGAAATACGTGAACCAGGGATATAGCAGACGGATTTGAATGCTAGCTTCTGCTTAGTTCGACTGGTCACCCAAATGTTGGCTCTGGGTAATGGCGAGATTTGATTGGTTGACGCGAACAGGGGGTGCAAGTGAGTGATATTTACAATCGTTCTTTGTGCTAAATGGAGAGTAAGGGTTAGTGTTAAGTAGCATAGGCGAATCACCATAGGATCAACCAATTTACCCTACCTTTCGCCTTATGGAGCTGTTATTTCTTATTTTAAAATTTAAATAGATGTACTTTTCTGAGCTACTTTTCACTTTTATTAGATCCAATTTGGCAGAATAAATGTGTTTTCCACAATTTTCACTAAGATTATTTGTGCAATCGATAATCGTTACTAATTGATTAATAGAACAGCTTTTTCTTATTTTGTCCAGGATGGCTAAACTAAACTGTCTATTCTAAGTTGTTAAGGCCAAGATAGTGTGGTCTGTAGCATGGTTGCGGTCTCTTTTCATTGCATGAAAGTAGTTTGACCTCATTTTTGCAACTTAGTTATTGACAAGAAGACCTATATTAACGCACCTTGTCCGGAGTCCATGGTATTCATGATGAGTTCCAGCGTCAAACCATGGACTTGTAACATTCATGCCATTGGACCTTTTTGTAATGCTGCAAGCGTTAAGATATAACTGCTGGGTTCTGCAACTTAATGAGGAAGTGATATTAGGACACATTGCAATAATTTCTGCCTTATCTGAAAATTAGAGGAAAGAGAGTGGGGATCGTAAACTACTTAAGATCATGGACATTTACTCCACACTCAGATAAGATCTAGGCAGGATTCCAACTCTGGAAAATTTTCAAGAACTCCAGAGTATGGCTTAGCATAAGTCGCAAAGATACTGGATTTAATAAACAAGAAATTGCTTAGATATGTGCGTAGGATCAAGTCAACTCGATCAAATTATGATATTTCTGTGTTGGTGACATTCACGGCTTCAAACGACGATGGGGATAAGATAGTGAATTTATCCCAAGTCCCTTCGAGATCTCTTGAGTGAGTTAAATTTTTTTCACTTGATAAAGGAGAATTTTTCACAGTTATTCTTCTCGTCTGTCACAAGACTGTCAACTAGATTTTTTGTACATTTTTGCCATAACGTCGGATCTATGTGGCGGTTTGCCTATCTTTCCGCCTAGCTCCCTGACTGTCGTGTCCAATCTGTGTGATATGTTCCGCTAATTCTGATCTTTAGGTATCCATTTTCCTGCAGAGACTTTGATTTTCATTGATTCATATGTTAATCAATTGGAAGGCAACAGAAAGAAGGGCCCCATACGGTGATAATACAAAGAAGCGGAAGATTAGGGAGACCATTGACATCCTTGCGAAAAAATCTATTGAACAGGAGATTGGAGGAAGGTAGATTTAGCGATAACTTTGCCTACTGCTTAAGCGAACTCGGGGAAAACAAGAATAGAGCAAGACCAGCAAAAAGGAGATGCCTGGATCAAGGATCTACCGCTAATCGGAGGAAAAGGGATCGCAATGAAGGAAGGGGGAGCAGGGGTTTTCGGCAATAAAGCGAAGACGTTGTCAATGGGTGATGTCCGTTTGGAATAAACCAGTACATCTTTGGAGGCCTGGCAGTCAAGGGAGCTAGGCGGAAGGATAAGCAAACCGCTACAGAAATCCGACGTTATGGAATAAATGTACAAGAAATCCAGTTGGGATTCAGTATGCGACCAGAGATAGGCAGTTTGCTCAGGTAATATGGGTTTAATCAAGGAGACGACCCGTGAAGGCAATGCCTGATATCTGCAAGAATGGGAATCAGAGCCTAGGCGCTATGCTCGATGAGGCGGCAGTTACGTGCTTCTAGGGCCTTGAGAAATAGCGCCTGGAGTGAAATGCAAACTGTTTCTAGAACTGAGCGAAATCGGTCAACCACACAGAGAAGCAACGGATCTACGGGACCATGAGGATTGGAGGCCCGATTTCGATTAGCCGATCGAAAGAGGGTGAATAGCAGATGTGATGAGGCTAAACTAGATTTGACACAAAAGGGCTCACATTTTGACGTGTATAATGTAAACAAGTGAAAAGTTGTGATAGGGTGGGAGTATGATAGGAGAGTAAAGAGTAAATAGATAGGCCGGAGCAGAAAGAGGAGTGATGGTGTAACCGTTTTTGTAGTAGGATTGACTTCACTTGTCTCTGACGCGTTCGTAGCTTGGTGCATAGAATGGCAAAATTCACTGATGATGCCGACTACGATGCCAGCGAATCCTTTGAGAATTTATCAAGTCCATGATCCAATACCTCGTTTTAGGTGCCTCTAAAACGGAATTTGAAGACTAATGCTGGGAATTATGACTACTATGGCAGGCGACTTCGTACTGAGTGCGTTCTACTAAGTCGCCCTGACAACAATACCAAGTTGAGACAACGAGGTCAACCCATTTCTTTACGAATCCAGACTTCGTGTTTTTGACTCAGTGATGCAGTAGTATATATGTCATTGAGGGCTTGAGGTAGAGTGCAGAACATAAGGACTCAAGTACCATGGATATTGCGGCAGCTCTCGAATGTAATCCCTGAACCAGGGAGACAGGAGTTGCGTTTTACGGGGCAAGAGCCAGACTATATTCGCTTAAAGGGAATACCTGGACTAGGCTTAAATAAATACCTCAGAAATTGTGATAGAGGAGATGATACGAAGCTACATGATAGGTGAAATTATCTGTTCAGGAGAGATATCAGAACTGTTTAGAGCAGTTTATCAAGTGGTCGGCTTCATTTGTCTCCTTAATGAGATGTAGTCTGGTGTTTAGCTTGTCAAGGCCCAGTGGGATGTCTGGGAATATATCAAGTTCATGGTACGACGCTGGAAATTATCATTAATTCAGAGGACTGCAGGCAAAATACTTTTATTAATCCCTTACTGACACTATGAACAAGTTGCGAAAACGGGGTCAAACCACTTCTAAATCATTTGCTAAGGCCATGATAAGTGACATTTTCTCCATGATTTGAAGTTAACACTATTTTACCATCTAATTTAAACATTTCATCCTTTCATTTAGCGTATTTCATCACACGTTTAGCCGTAGTTAAACATTTTCTTAATACATGACTTCCCTCCACTTATCCTACATAAGTTAGTTTAATCTTAAACATAAATCCGACTGCGATTTTCACGAATATATTTTTTACTTCTTTAACTTTAATATCAGATTGTTTATTCGACTTACATGTAGTGAAAAATGTTTTCTAGAAAAACCTTAATTCGGTGAATTTTAGGTGCTTCTAAAACGGAATATGAAGACCAAGCTGATGTGATCACAGTCTCCTTTAGTTGTATAGTTTAGCTTTGACCTCGTTTTCTAAATTTGATCTGACGAAAAGGGAGATTTTGAGGAACTTATCCAGTCGTGAAGCGGTTTGATCTCGTTTTCGTAACTTGCTCTTATTGTCAGAGAGTCTTAGTTGGATGCACATTGTCCAAGGCCTCTGCTATAGTAGCTAACATAATTCATAGCGCCAGACTTGATGCATTCTCAGACATTTCTCAGCGCCAAGCGTTTCCTTTCTTATTAAAGTCCAATTTCTCCTTAATTCTCCCGAACTGTACGTGAAATTTGCATTCTCTTAGAGTAGCTTTCGAAATTATCAATAAATCTTGAACAAGAGTTCCATAAAATTAACTCACATGAACATATGAAAATGTGGC